GTTTATAGGGCTTTTTGAATCTGTGGGATTGGTGAGTTTCATTAGTTCTTTAAGAAAATACACTATTATCTCTTCAGATACTGCCTTTATTCTATTTCCTGTCTTTCTGGGACTCTAAATATTTTTCTGATCTTTTCACTGTTTTCCATGTTTCTTAATTTTTTTTTTCTGTAATTTTTTTTTTTCTGTATCTTCTTTTTTTCTTAATGCATGGATGGATGGTTTCTTCTGATCTGTCCTCTCGTGTTTGCATTTTTTTTTAAGGTCCAGTCTGCTGCTAAATATATCAGCTGAGTTTTTAAATTTTGCCTTTGTGTTTTCCATTTCTAGAAGTAGTGTTTGTTCTTTCTTCATAGTTGATAGGTAATTTTTAAATAGATTTTTATGCCCTGAAGATATTTTTAAGTTCGTTATATATTTGTTTAAACATATAAGCATTGTTTAAAAATCTTCTTCCAATAATTCTAGTAGCTGGTCTATGAGGGATATTTCTGCTGGTGGTTGTTCATGTTATTTTCTTTCTTTATGTGTTTGGTTACCTATGCCTGCTTCTTGGTTGTTGTCATTGAATTATTTCTGGGTTCTCCAAGGCCCAGAGTGGATTTGCCATCCTCTAGAGAGGCTTTTGATTTCTGCTGGGTCCTAGATGCATTGGCATTAGGGATGTATGTTTCAAGCATAAAAGTCTTGGGTGGGGAACGTCCAGAGTGTGGGCCGGGTAAGGCCTGCAAGCCATATAAGGCCCATGAAATCATTTGGTCTGGCCCTGCCAAGACCTCACCAAAGAGAAGCAGTTCCAGTCATCACTTTAGGGTGAGTTAATTGAATGTTTGACCAAATACAGAAGGCAAATTTTTAAGTTGATAGTTTTGTATGGCCTGTGAATGATGTTATAAATATCCAAATGGCCCTTGGCAGAGAAAAGACTCCCCATCCCCGGTTTTAGACCAACCATAAAGGTATTTTGGTCTCTGAGGTGCAAATCTTTCCTAGGGTTGGTTTAGGTTTTGAATGCTGTCCCTCCTCCCCCATTTGTCCCTCTCTTCCTATATGTTGTTACTCAGACTTTTCACTTTTCTCTCTAGATTTTGACTTTTATCTAAAAATTGGCTTGGAACTTCTCTATTGCAGACCATTATTGTTTTTAAGATGTTGGTTTGAAGTTTTTTATAGTGTTTTTCATTGTCTTTAGGAAGAGGAAAAGTTAGAGCTGTGACTGTATTTATTAGAAACAAAGAACAAAAATAAATGAACTTATTTCCAGAAAAAGAATATGGTAATAGTGGAAAATGAGGATTAAGCAGAATTTAGTGAAATAGAAGAAAAGTAGTATTTCAATGAAGGTTAAAGCTGCTTCTCTGAAAAGACCAATAAAATAATTGAACTCTGCATTAAGTGTGAGTAGAAAGAGAAGACACATGTAAATACATTAGGACTAAAAGTGGGAACATCCTACACATATGAAAGAAATTAAGTGATTACACTAGAGACTATAAACCATCTTAATTAATAGTTTGGCAATTTATCACCAAATTAACACTATTAAAAATATTTTACACATTAATAATGCTTCTTTACAGGCACCCTATGAAGCATTAGTTTGATATATAACACACAGTAGGACCTTTAAGGAAAAATTTTCTGCTTCTGATTTTTCATTTGGTGCTATATTCCTAGAAAATAAAGTTTAACATATGTGTTTCAGTCAAAAAGTAGACCAGATGTACTTTTCTTTATATTTATTTTTAGTACTACCGTTAATAGCTTTGTGTGTCACACTCTTTTTCTGTAGTTATTCAAATTATGCTTCATCTTCATCTTTAGTCTACTTCCCTTCTTTGTCTCATTGTGTCAGCTTATTAATTTTCCATCATTGGGTTCATAGAATAGGTATTTATGGTGGCCTGTGGGGAGGAGGAAGTGTCATGGAATACATAATTGTCCAACTTTTTATGAAAGCTTTAGGCAAGTTAAACACAATAAGATTTTGTATATTTGCCTTTTCTGTTTGGAACAAATGAGCACATTTTATATTGTCTAAAAAAAATTGTTTAATTCCTCCTATTAGCAGAAATGTAGTATCACAAATATGTTAAGATTAAAAAGTTAGTATTATAACTTCCTGTAAGTTGTTGGAATAGAGATATTTGGAGGGTAAATCATAGCAAACTAATTTGTCTTGTTTTTTATATTGTGTGGCACTTATTTTCTACCAAAGTTGACTTTGAAGACTGATGGAATTATATTTCCATAGAAAAAACCTTACATGAACTAGAAGAAAGACTAGGATAACCAGTGTTGCATAAGTAAATACACTTGATGAGAGTTGATATTGCAACTTAACTTTTGGTACTTATCAGCCTCCATTTTTTGTGTGTATTTATGCATTTTTTGCTTTTACGTTATTTTGCCTCATCTTTTATCAGGATTTTACACTGTCCAGATGATGTTAGCAAAGGAAAAAAACCTTTGAGTTCTTGTCAACTCCTTCATATTTACAGAAGAATTCAGGTCTCAGAAAAGTTACTCAGTGTTTCTCAGACTAGCTCTGATGAAGAACCGGAATTGAAACTGTATTCCCCCCCCCACTTCCCGTGCCCCAAGTCTGTTGAGGACCAATGCAAGGCCCTATTATGCATGCCTAGCTCCCAGTTTGTGTCATGTGATTTACCACCTAAGTTCAGTAACAACCACACTGATAAACATCTTATTCTATGTAGTCCACTGATGACGTACATGAATTTGTGGCAGTCTGAAGTTGTTATAAATGTTTTCAAATGCTTATTCTCAACTTTTGTATTTTGCTTATCATAGATTGGTAAAATGCAGCGCATGGACCACGCTTTGAAGTGGAAGTAGGAGCAATCCATGTGTTTGACCCATTCAGGGAGAGGATTGTCCCCACTATAGATGTTAGTGCAGAGCAACGGCTTTCAAATTAATTTTGTGGTAAACATTCCAAAAAGAGCTAGCCAGAAATCTTGTGGTAAAAACAGCTTTTCCATGTGCAAATGAAAAGTTTAAGTGATCTTATGGAAAGGTATTTTAATTGCTTTGTATGTAGTTCATTTTTATACTTGTGCCTTTATAGCTCCAAATAGTTTCATGGGATTAAAATCATTTGGGCAGATAGATTATGATTTGAAAGAATAATAATATAGGCACAGGAAGGTGAATGGAAGAGAGAGGGAGAAAACATAAATGGAGGAAGGTTACGTAATTGATTGAAGGATTGGACTTACTGGAATAGATCTTTAACCATTTGGTTCCCTAATCTAAAATGCCAGAAGATTTTGAAATCTTTCTTTTTTTCTTTTTTTTTTTAAAGAAAATTAGAAGCACTAAAAATCAATTCTAGAGAGTAGCTTGGTGTTCATTTGGCATATATTTATTGAGCTTCTAAAATGTGTGATACATTATATTTGAAAGTTCTTAGGTCAGTTACTGAGTTGGCTGTTATATATGCTTCTCACCCAAAAGTAAGTTGGAGTATGCCAAATAGGACTAAGTAGCTCAAAGATTCAGATTTTTAATATGGGAATCTGATGGTATGGTTGCTTATATCCTGCAGAACCACCAGTATACCTGAATATTTAAGAACAGGGTTTTTGGAGACCTTAAGATATTATTAGTAGAAATTGAACATAGAGGGAAATCTTACTTTCTCAATTGCCTTCATTATTAATGTGTGATCACACATTTGAGCATTTAAAAAAAATTTTTGTTTTGACGTATATATGAAAAGGTGAAAGTAACGTTATGTTAAAGGCATAGCAGGGTTTCAGACTTTTGGATATTTCCTCTACTCTTGTTCCCACTGTTTTTCTTGATGGCATCATTTGAGTTTTTCCCCACTCCTGTATTCTGATAGGCACAATTTCCCAACCAATTGTGGTTCCCACTTTGGGGATCTCTTTATATCCAGTTTTAGATATTGTATTTAGCGTGTCCATCTTCTATTTATTATTAACTATTTTTATTAGTAGTAATAACTGACTTATTGAATGCTAATATGTAGGACACAGTCTTAATCACTTTACAGATGTATTCTTTTTAAACTCACAGAAATCCTCTCAATAAAGTACTGTGACTCCCATTTAACAGAAGAGAAAACTAAGGCAGATAGGTCATATAACTTAGCTAAGGTGTCTGAGAGAGCAAAGATTGAGCCAAGATTCAAAGCCAGGCAATGTAAGTCCATGGCTCTTATTCAGGCCTTGTAGCCTGGGCATTAGCAGTAGGAATAAAATCAATACTGTAAGAGTGAAAAAAGAAAAAATTACAATAGTATAATTGCTAATATTTATTGAGGATTGCTATGTGCCAATCATAATAATAATTGCTTTATGAGTGTTATTGTATCTTTAGACCAGCCTTTATGATTATTTTCATTTTACTTGTGAGGGTACTGAGGCATAGAATTTGATTAACTTGCCTAAGACCACATGGCTAGTAAGTGTTGAAACTAAATTGAAACTCCTGAGCCATTTTCGATGTATTGTATTCATTTCCCCTTCTTTGTTTCTCTTTGACTGGGAGTGTGTTGAAAGACAAGTACTTCATTAATCTTCTGGCATATAGTAGGGTTTCATTAAATATTTATTGATTGTAATACATAAGCCCATATTTAAATGAGAAAACTTATATTTTTGGCCTCTAACACAGCATCTTAGAATTTTAATTTTCCTGTTAACTATGTGGTAGGCACTGTAGGGATCCCAATATTGTTTGTTTTTAAAAAAATTTTAGAACCTTTGGTGGTGGTTTAAGATTTAGCACTAAAAGTAGTCTGTGCTAACCCCTAAAAAACAGTATTTTAAAAACTATTTTATTTAACGTTTAACTTTTATTAAATAAAAATATTTTAAGTAATTAAAAGATTCAGAAAAGGGGAGCTGTAACAAATAACCACATACCCATCATCCAGAATTTAGTAATTGTTATTTGTATAGTTTTCTATTTATTTAACGCTAACTTCTGTGTTTGCTTTATGCTTAAAGCCATATCCAGAAGACCCAGCAGTTTATAAACCACTCTCCCAGGAAGAACTGCAGAGGATAAAGAATGAGAAAAAACAGAAACAAAATGAGAGAAAACAGAAAATATCAGAAAATCGCAAACATTTGGCAAGTGTGCGTGTTGTACAAAAAAACCTCGTCTTTGTCGTAGGTCTGTCTCAGCGCCTAGCAGATCCAGAGGTAAGTCCTCTTCTGTTTCCTTTCTCAACTTGACATTTTTTTCTTTTTGCTTCTCTTATTTGGAAATAATAACTTACCCTGCCCAGCTGCAGGATTCTACTGAAACTTAGCACTAAGAAACCAATAGCCACTTGTTATCTTAGGCAGATGTTTTCATCTTCCTTGGTCTCATTTTCTTCAGTTGTAAAACTAGGCAGTTGTACTAGACTTCTAAAGTCTCCTTTGGTGCTAATAATCTGAAACTTGGATAATAGTTCTATTTTACTATTAAGACTAATGTGTGACATGCCTGCTTTCTTTCTGTAGCTATATAAGGACCAACAGTGGAGATGCAGTTATATGAAGCCGCTAGAGATCTGTATTCTTTTAAATTCTGCCCCAGTAGTAGTTCTTATTTATAGACAGTGATAGAACTGTTGTTGTGCTGTGTCATCATTCTTTACTCATTCATTTCAAGCCAGTTTTCAGGAAAGAGGGAGAATTTGATGAAAGGAAATAATGGACCAGGTTCTTTGTCATTTGTTTGGGGGCAGGGGAAATCTTAACCCTTTTGTTTAGTACTTCTTTTCTCGCCTTCCGCCACCAGCCTTATTAGGGTAATGTCTAACTCATAACTTTAGCCTTGATGCCTTTGAATGCATATCTGCTAATTTTTAGTTTCTGATATACCAGGAGATGCTGACTAGATTAATGGGAAGGCAGACAGAAGCTGATTGACAGCCAGTGTTTACTTCAGTAGGAGAGAGCTGGATTTTGGGGGTCTGCCTAAAGTACCCAATGAAAAGGTTTTGAAGTAATGCTCATCATGGTACAAATGAGAGGGAGGATTGTAGTGAATATGCTTAGGAAGGTGGGAATCATCAGAATTGGCTAATTAAGTTAAAGGCCCCAGAAAGAGGAAATTTAAGGAGTCTAAGCTTTGATTTTATAAAATTCAATTTAGAGAGAATAATAAATGTTTATTGATGATGAGTCTATGATGTATTGAGGAGGAGAAAGTCAGGGAGATTTTACTAAGAAGGTTCTATCATTGACAATAAATATGGTGGCAGCTCAAGAATTACTAGGACCTAGGTCCAGGGATGCTGGCGTTAGTGGGGTACATGATTTTCAGAAGACCAGGTTCTTTCCAAAGCCAAAAGGATGTGTCTAGAATTCATATAGGAAAAGACTTCTTCAGTTAGATGTTAAGGGGAGAGCTCATTTTAGACCTATGCTTCATCCTCAGCAGCCAATTCTTCCTTTCTCTAAGCTAGTACTTAACTCCTCTGGTAGGCACAGTGCCACTTCACTGTTGACCATTTCCTTGAATACCACCACAACTTTTCATCAACCCTCCTCTCTCTCTCAGCTCTGCCTTTTTTCTTAACCAGAGGGCACTTGCCACTGTAAGTTTTTTATTTACCTGCCTCTATTTACTCCTACTGATCTTATTGATTAGAATCCACTTTTGCATTTCTGAAATTGCTACTACAGTAAACTAATGGAAGTTTTATCTTGATTTGAGAACTCTTAGATGTGAATGTACTTGATTTTCTAAATCCATCCTGGATCTGGTCATCTGTAGAACTGGAGGGAGGTATATGGAGCAGCACTTGAAGGTTGGGTAAAATTAAGCCATAGTCTCAATCTGAAGTTTGGATTATAGGTTTTCTACCTCTCCTTTAGAATCTGTGATTTGTTTTTATTTACAGTATTCTCCCCTTATCATCTGTGGGGGATTTGTTCCAAGACTTCCAGGGGATATCTGAAATTGAGGATAGTACCAAACCCTTCATACAGGGTAGAGCAAAAGTAGGTTTACAGTTGTGAGTACATGAAACAGCTTATTCTTGTATTATTATTTATTAATCATTGTATTATTTTCCATACAAACAACGGTAAACCTACTTTTGCCCCAGCCTGTATACTATGTTTTTTTATATACGTACATACCTATGATAAGCTTTAATTTATAAATTAGGCGCAGTAAGAAATTAACAATAATAACCAATAATAAAATAGAACAGTTATAAATAGAACAGACAGTTTACTGTAATAAATGTTATGTGAATGTGGTCTCTCTCTCAAAATATCTTATTGTACTGTACTTATCCTTCTTGAGATGATGTGAAATGATGAAATACCTGTGATGAGATGAAGTGAGGTGAATGATGCAGGCATTGCCACCAGGCGTTAGGCTACTATTGACCTTCTGATGGTACATCAGAAGGAGGATCATCTGCTTCGGGTGATCCTGGATCATTGAATCTTGATGATGTCGATGGTTGGTTGTTAGAAGCAATCGATGTCAGTAGTTGGGGAAATTTAATATTTAGGACCACAGTTTACCGTGGGTAAGTGAAACTGCGGATAAGGGAGGACTTACAGAGATATCTTTTTTCCACTAATAAACATGACTCCAGTATGATTAATCTGAAGAACTATTATATGGAAAGAAATTAATCTAGGTGGTGACCAGAGAGAACACTTTATTAGGAGTCTCAGTGTACCTGAAAATTATTCTACTAGTTTTATACTTTTGAAATAAGTGTTGCTTGGTAAGAGAACAATGAATTTTCTTTTTCTTGAAAGCCTCGGAGGATCAGAGACCAGTGTTTTATTTATTAGATACTATCACTTCTAAATAATAATATCTTAAAAAATTCTCTTACTTTGTCTATACAAGCTTTTCAGTTTGGAAAACTTAAAGTTGACTTCATAAGAAAACTCAGTGTTTCAGATTGTTAGTATAACTTTCAAATTTGAAGATCCCTGTTATTTACTTATCTTTGGATGATTAATAAAATAGGAGAGTTTAGGAAAATTTAAAACGTATTTTGAAAATAATTTTTATACATCAGAAAACTTCATACCAAGATTGACTGTCAAATGTATCATTTATTGATCAATAGAATAAACTACCTTAGAAAATACGGTAATTAAAGGTAATGATCACCTTCTAAGTTGTAAAATTTTAGATTTGGAACCTAATTCATTCACTCTGTAAATGAACTCTTGAATACTTACCATGTGTTGGATACTTCGATATTGGAAATAAAGTAGTCTCGCAAGCCAATCACAAGTCTCATCCCTTAACAAGCTTACAGATTGCTGGGGAAGACAGAATTTAAGAACTCTTAAGTGTACTGAACATTTATAAACAGGGAACTACAGGGCCCTTTGGGAACATGTAACAGTGGGGAACTTATGTGTAGAGATCCACAAAAAGCCTCCCTGAGGAAAGGATGATTAAGAATTACTTGGGATTAGCCAGGCAGCAAATATGGACAAGGGAGTACCAGGTGTGTGGTGGCTTGAGAGCAAATTGTTTGAGGGACTAAAAGACTTTGAAGACACAACCATTTTATTTACAAACTAGAAACCGAGGCATGGGGAAGTTAAGTCACTTGCCTATGATCACATAGCTTTTCATAGCAGAGCCAGGACTAGAAAAAAGCCCCAACCACACCCCCCACACCCCTCATGCACCCTGTCTTAAATCTCCTATTCCAGTGTATTTTACACTGATGATTGGTCTGTTGCTCATCCATTTATGCATTCATCCATCCATTCATTCATCCTTCCATCTACTTACCAAGTGTTTGATTTTCTGTCATGTTCCTGAACTCTTGACTGTGGTCCCAAAGAAGACATTTTATGCATTAGGCATGCTATTGGACATTTATAATTCTGTCACATGGCCCTTTATATTCTATGCTTAAATTATAAGAATTTTTCTTGCCTGGGCAGGCCATTTCTTATCAGCCTTAGGCCATTTGCTGATACATTGAGGCCCACAGTTCAGTTTTTCAGTAAGCATTTATTGAGTACCTTAAGTGTTCTAGGCACTCTGTAAGACACTTAGCATACACCAGTAAGAAGGTCGTCTCTGCTTATTTACAAAAGTAACAGTACACTATGAGAAGTCCTGGATGCTGTGGAGGCACAAGAGATAGCACTTGACCTTCAGGGAGGAGATATGTCCCCCTATTTTATCTTTGGGTTAAAGTGCTTCTGGCACAGGAACAATACAGATGCTTCTGGATGAGAAAGAGCTCAGTCTGCAAGTGATTTGTTTGGCTGGAAGAGTGCAGTGGTGAGAGGTGAGGCTGGTGAGGTAAGTGATAATGGATTATGAAGGGCTTTCTGATCATGCTAAGGAGTTTGCAATTTATCCTCAAGGCAGTGGGAAACTGGTGTATGTTCTTAGGAACAGAGTGACGTGGCTAGATTTGTACTTTGAAAAATAGTATTCTGGCTGCAGTGTGACATGTCAGTGTAATTATATACATATTTTACTTTGTTATGAGGGTGCTATACCCAAATATTGGCCAGAAATTTTCCATGAGTCAGTGGTCTTCAACCTTATCAGACATAGTACGCACTTTTAAAAAACTAATATTTTATATTTTGACTTTCACAAAATGACTTTTTGATAATATAATCTGTCTGCATACATAATTTGCAAAAAAACATAAAGGAGAAATAAAAGGCAAGTGATTATAAAAAGACTATTTCTAATTATAAATTCTTGGGTACTGCTACTCTTGAATCTTGCTACTTAGGGTTTGGCCTCTGGACCGGCAGCATCAGTATCACCTGGCAGTTTATTATGCAAGCTCAGGCGCTGCCTCAGAACTGCTGCATCTAAATCTGCATTTTAGCTGGATCTAAAAATGACTTGTATGTGTATTCAAGTTTGGGAAGTACTATTTTTCAGTACATAATAAAATTGTAAGATACTTGCATCTATTTGGAGAATTACTGTGGATGTGGCAACTACAAATGCAGATTGTTACAGGTGTATGTATTGGCAACTCAGGTACCATGCAATGTCAGTGACAGTTTTCTGAAACATCTCTTAGTAAAATTCCAAACAGAGCATTTATACTCTTAATTACATATTATTTGCTTCCCTGTAAATTCAAAATATGTCAAAATTGTGGGGAACTACTTTGTGTTTATATATAATATGGAATTTGTTTCTAGGTTCACTTAATTATAAACAGTCTTCTCAT